CTATTATTTGTAACTTTAATTTGCATTTTTTTAAATTAGGTTAAGGTTTTTTTCACTTGTTTTTAAATTTTGATTATTATGGCACATATGCCATTTCTGTTTATTGTGTAGGTACATACGACATTTCAAAAATGGTTTAAACATCATTTCTTGTATAACTTTTTCCTGGTGTCATTAAGACTGCTTCTGCCAAGGTGGTCTTCATCCCCAAGGCTGGGAAAGAAGGCTACACTGCGGCGAAGTCTTTTAGGCCTATTAGTTTCACATCCTTTCTGTTTAAAACAATGGAAAGGACTGTGGACAGGTATCTGGTGGATGGGGCGTTAAGTAGATACCCAATCCACACGGATCAGCACGCATATAGGCGGGGCAGGTCCACAGAGACGGCCTTACATAGTGTCACACGTAAAGTAGAGAAGGCCCTTCAGTACAAAGAGGTCGTATTGGCAATATTCTTTGATATAGAAGGTGCCTTCGATAAGGCAAAAACTGAGACCATATGCAACTCGCTCCAAGACCGGGGCACATTGCCTATCGTGGTCGAATGGGTGAGTTCGGCATTGAAGGAAAGGAAGGTTAGTGCAGTCATGGGGGACTGTCGTAAGGACCTGGGAGTGGGAGGGGGATGCCCTCAAGGCAGCTACTCTCCCCGCTTCTATGGTGCCTAGTAATGGACGGTCTCCTGGAACGCCTAACCTCGGAGGGATACAGTGATGCCCAGGCTTACGCCGATGATGGCGTGGTTCTAGTCGCGGGCCGGTTTTTGGACGTGGTATGCGACAGAATGCAGGGAGCCTGTAGGATCATAGAGAGGTGGTGCGAGGAGATGGGGCTCTCAGTCAACTCAAAGAAGACTGAGATGATCCTATTTACAAGGAGAAGGAAGATAGTGATTTCAGGGCTCCAACCATGTATGGGAGGCCCCTGACTTTGGTCAGGGAAGTCAAATACTTGGGGGTAATCCTGGACAGCAAACTGTCGTGGTGGCCACAGGTTGAGAGGATTACCCTGAAATAAGTGGCAACCCTCTGGCAGTTAAGGAAGGTAGTTGGCAAAAACTGGGGACTCAATCCAAGGGTGCTTCACTGGGTGTACACGGCGGTGGTCAGGCCGAGGCTACAGTATGGGGCCTTGGTCTGGTGGCCGTGTGTGGCCCGGGTGACGGTAGCCAGGAAGTTGGTGAAAATCCAGAGACTTGCCCGCTTAGGTATTACAGGGGCAATGAGGACGACCCCAACGGCCGCGTTAGAGGTCCTTCTGGGGCTGCCGACCCTTCCTACATGGATTATGAGGGAGGCGATGGCGGCATACCTTAGGATAAGGGACGCCGGCAGTTGGAGAGCGAAAGGACGCACTGAGGGCCATGCTGCCGTGGCCCTCAGGGCGGAGATGGACATCCCAATATCCGCCATGAGGGTTACGGAAGCAGAGGACCGGCTTAGATTAGGAAGGAAGTATGTCACCACTTTCCCCTCGAGAGAGCAGTGGAAGCAGGATAGTGATATGTTCTCCCCAGGATCCCTAGTATGTTATACTGATGGATCTCGGGTAGAAGACGAGTTTTCAGGAGCAGGAATTTATCTGGAAGGCAGCGGCATCCAGGAAAGCTTTTCACTGGGTATGTATGTTACAGTCTTCCAGGCCGAGGTTTTTGCTATTTTGATGGTAGCAAGCAAGGAGGAGGTAAGGAATTGTGCAGAGGAGAAGAATTTTATCTGCTCCGACAGTCCGGCCGCGCCCAGAGCGGTTAGCTCCCCGAGGACTAGGTCTGCCCTTGTCCAGGAATGCGGAGACGCTCTAGAGTCATTGGCCAGACGAAGAGAAGTAGAGTTGGTTTGGGTCCCAGGCAGTGGCGGCCCGTGGATTTGAATACAGGGGGGGCGCATTTTGAAAAGAGGACGTACATCATAAGAGCTGCGGGGGGTGTGGGGGCGAAAAATTTAAAGGAATTTGAAGGTCATTGTGTTTTGCAAGTACCCCAAAATGAATACTGTCAGTGTGTACAGTAGCTACTTAGATACAATGCCAGAAATAAAATTCCAGCGTGTGGGGGCTGAAGTGGATAATCGATCAACCAACCCAGTTAGGATATAATTATGTAGATTACTGTAATAGTTCATTCTGTATAGTTTTTGAAGTTCCTTTAAAAACATGGGCATCACTAAGATGTTTATCTAAAACGGGACAAATTTTTGCACTATAGTCTATCAGTTCTAAAAATACCCCTTTGTTTACCGAGTCACTTTTTTTATTATGTCCACGAAGAGAAAGGTTACATGTACCACACAGTTTTAAGATATTTAAAATTTTTGAAAGAAGCAATTGATTTTTCTTAACTGTTTTGTTATGACTATTTACTATTTATTTGTTCTGCAAAGCACTATTTAAACAAGAAGCAATATTTACTCTTCCTAAAAGTAAAAAACTAACCAACTTATTTTTGTGTTTAGGAGAATTTTCATGTTTCTTAATTTTAATTTCTAAATGTTTCAAGTCAGAAACTCCAGTTTTCGTCGTTTTCTTCGCCTTCTCCAAACAATAAACATACAAAACAAAAAAATCTATTTGTTTGGTCACAACCACACAACCACAGGGTCTTATCATAAATGTTTTTATCAAATTTGCGAAAGCCGGCCCACTTTTTGCACTCTTTCTGCACCTCAACTAAATTCAACACTGGCGTTGGACGTCCGTTATTTTTCAATTCGACTTTTTCCTCTAAACTTAAATTACTAATAACAAGTTTTTTTATTTCACAAACCCTCATTTTAAACTTAAACTTATAAAATATAATGTCTTAAAAAGCGCCAAAGCAAAAACAAAACACATATAACCACACTTCAGTGATACGGGTTACTGCCTCATGGAGTCCCAAAACAAAGCGCG